CCACACTTGGGCTCTAGACCCTTCCCCAGCAGCTCCGTTGACCTTCTCTGGCCACGCTCCAGCCCCTCAAGGTCCTTCTTGGGGTGAGGGGCCCAAAACTGAGCCCAGGATTCGAGGTGTGGCCTCCCCAGTGCCCAGTCCAGAGGGACAATTCCTGCCATCCTTCTGCTGGCCACACTAGTGTTGATCCAAGCCAGCTGCTGGTGGCCTCCTTGGCCAGCTGGGCACACGTTGGCTGATCTTCAGCTGGCTGTTGACCCACACCCCCAGGTCTCCCTCCTCTAATCTGAGAGCTAAGGGAACTAAGGGTCCTATGGGGCAGATGTCTCCTTATCCTGCTCTTTCCATCTCCCATAGGTTTGTTTTATGAGCTGCAGGATAACAATATCCAGGCAGAAATGGCCTTCCGTGAGGCTAAGAAGGTTCTGCAAGCCCAGGAGAGGAGAATCCCTGGGGCTGCTGAGGGAGAAGGAGGGGAAAAGCACATCCCTGCTGAGTGTGTGAGGTCTCCCAGCCCAGGCCCAGGAGAACGTGTGCCAGGTAAACCCAGGAGGTGCTTGAGCCCCAGCAAAGGGGGCTCAGAGTGCTGAGAACCACTCTGGCTGGAAAGGACCTCTAGGGTCATCAAGCCCAACCACCATCCCAACGTTTCCCTGACCACTAGACCACAGCCTCAATGCCACATCCACTCGTTTTGTGAGCCCCTCCAGGGCTGGGGACTCCAGCACCTCCCTGGGCAGCCTGGGCCCATCCCTCACCACTCTGCCAGGAGAGAAATTCCTCCTCAGATCCAACTGAAACCTCCCCTGGGGCAACTTCAGCCCATTGCCTCTCATTCTATCATCAGTAATTTGGGAGAAGAGGCCAACACCAACCTCAGTCCAACCTCCTTTTAGGGCAAAGCAGCTGCTGTGGTGACCCTGAACCAAAGGCTTCCTTTGGAGTCCTGCCTCACTCAGAGCCAAGACTTTCTGTCCCCAGTCCCAGCTATTTGGCCAGGCTGTAGGAGATGCTGGCTGGCTTTATTTTTAACATTGTCATCACTCCAGGCACAGTGCTGCAGGCAGGCCTCGTGTCCTACACCTTTTTTTTTGCCTCTTCTGATGAGAAGAGAAGGGATATTGCCTCATTTGTCCCCATTTCCAGCCTCACAGGGGGATCTTGTACCCAAAACCTCAGGGTTTTTTTTGCCTCCTGCAAAGAAATCCTTCCCTGTTTTCTCTCTTCCCCATTTCTGTAGAGTCATGCTCCAAACTGGGCAGTTCATGGCAAAGTTTCTTTGCACCTAATGGTTGTTGGGGGGGTTTTCATTCCAGAGGAGGTTCCAGAGGGCTCAGCTGACAGACTGCCTGAGGAGGTGGAGTCAGCACCCAAGGAAGAGGCTGCAGCTCTGGAAGGTCAGGGGATGGTCCCGTGTGATCAGGGAGGCTCCATCTCCCCCTCTACAGCTCCATTCTCTGAGGGGTGGCAGAGAGATGGCAGTGCTGGGGGCTTCAGGCTCCTGCTGGGTTGCTTTGGGGAGACAAGCTTCAGGCCTAAATTCCTGACTTTCCTTCCCCTGAGTTTGGACTGGAAAATTAGTGGGTGAAGAACATCAACTTCTTTCCATCTCTCTTGTAAGACTGAAGCCCTTCAGAAAGAAATGCTGAGTTAATCTCTGCCCCAGCTTCCCTGCCACCATGTTTTACACCATGTTACTGGGATTTCTCTGTCCCCACCAGGGTCTCAGCCTCTGGTCTTGCTTCAGAAATCTAAAGCTCACTTCAGGACTGATGGAGATGTGTTTCCTTGCAGCACCAGCCCCTGGGTCAGGGCTTAGCCAACCTCCCTGCACCTATTGCTGCTGAAAGTCAATGCCATCCAGGTCAGCAGGAGTAGAAAGAGAGGTTTGGTTTCCTTCCTTGGGTCAGCACAAAAAAGCTGGTGGCAAGCTCCAGCAAGCTCCTTTCTTGGCCTTGCAGACCAAGCTGTGGCTACCTCAGATGCTGAGGGCAAGAAGGACCCAACCCATCACTGCCTAAAGATGTAAAACTGTGGCCAGGCATGAAAGTCAATGCCATCCAGGTCAGCAGGAGTAGAAAGAGAGGTTTGGTTTCCTTCCTTGGGTCAGCACAAAAAAGCTGGTGGCAAGCTCCAGCAAGCTCCTTTCTTGGCCTTGCAGACCAAGCTGTGGCTACCTCAGATGCTGAGGGCAAGAAGGACCCAACCCATCACTGCCTAAAGATGTAAAACTGTGGCCAGGCAGAGGATTGAGAGCAAAATGCTGGTTGGGGACAAGTCAGCTCAGGCAGATGAGGTCCTTGGGGTGCTCCAGCTCAGCACTGCTTGCTGCAGAGGGAACAGCCAGGCCAGATGTGGTGCAGTTGTGCTCTCCTCTGTCCTTTCAGAGATGAGATGTTTTATTGTGATGCTCCCAAGACGTCAGTGTTCCTTTGGTTCAGACACTTGTGTATGTCAGAGTAATTTTTGTGTCCCCTGTGGAATGTCCCTGTCCTACCCAGTTGTCTCTGTGGGATCCCCCTCATGCTGCCTGCCTTAATTTCACCTGGCAGGAAAAAAAGAGCAAAGCAGAACTAAAAGTAATGGAGAGGGGGGGAAAAAAATGTCTTCTGCCTTTTGTCTGTTCATGGAACTTCACCAGGACCAAGAGAGCCAATGGTCTGCTGGGGTACATTGGAGAAGAGTGTGGCCAGCAGGTCACAG